AAAATCAGACCTAAGTTCAAATTCAGCTTTAGGATGGCTCAAGTTGAAGATATATTTTGTTTCTGTGTCCTCCCTCTCCTCATTTATTCTTTGCCTCCTCCAAAATCTACTGCTAGACACACACAGCCTTGTGTACAGTGATTAATGAAAGACACAAGAACAGTTTCACATAAAATGGAAAAATACAGCTCACCACATAGCAAAGTGCAGCACAGGGATGTATTTTTTGGTAGTACTAGTACTCGAGCTCTAAAGAAAAAAGGGTAGCAACCTCACACAAGCAGCAGGTGAATACGGATGCCTGGCACTTCTCTGAAATGGCTAAAATCTTGCATGGGACACAAACTGCTGTGCCTAACTTTCAATAAGATACAGAGATCACCCTTAACTAAAATGAACCTATCTTCCATGTCATGGGCAAAAGACCGGCCAAAAAACCGAGATCAGTCAATACAAAACTAACCCCTGATAGCTGCTGAAAGACTTTAAAAGAGCGACTGAAGCTGAGCTCTAAACGCGCGCGAGAGGCCACGCCAAACAACCGCGGTCCGCACCAGGGCCGCCCACAAACCCACCAGGCTTCTTGGCCGGGGGTTTCTCATCCTCCTCGCTGGAGCTGTCACTGCTGCTGGCGGACGGCTTCCTCTTGGCCTGGGCGCCGTTCGGGACCAGCGTTCTCCTCTTGGCCTCCGGAGACCTGCGGGAGAAGGGCTGAGCGGGGCGCGCGGGGCGCGGGCCGGGCGGAGGGGGCGCGGCCCGGGGGCACTTACCGCAGCCAGTAGGTGAAGATGTCCAGGAGAGAGGCCGCGTTGGGGTCCTGCTCCTTCTAAAGCGAGAAGCCGCGTCAGCCAGAGTCACTGGGCCCCTGCATGAGCCCCCGCCCCCCGTGTCCCGTGTCCCGTTCCCCGTGTACAGTGTCCCATCCCCCTGTCCCGTGTCCCGCTCACCGCCGCCGCCTCCCTGGCGAAGGCGCGCGCGGCGCCCTGGCAGCCGCTCTCGCGCAGGAACGCGAGCACGAGGGGGAACAGATCGCTGGGCACCGCGCGCCGCTCCGCCATGATGCCCACGCCGACACGTGCCGCGCGCGCACGCGCTAACGCTTGCGTGCGTGCTTGCGTGCGTGCTTGCGTGCGTGCCTGCGTACGTGCGCCGCCGCGGCCCCGCCCCGGCCGCTGCCAAATGGCGCGCGCAGCGCGGGTTCGGGGCGCTCCCGCTGTGAGGGGATGGGCAGGCGCCCTCAGTGTCGGTGCCTGTGTCAAGGCAATGCGCGGTGCCGAACGGCTGCCTGTGCTGCAAAGGCAGGAGAGGGGCTGGGAAACCGGCAGTGCCCGCTCGACTCTGGAAGCGGGAAGACTTAAACTTAAGTCCCTTTAACCCTCACCAGCTTACTCCTGCTTGCAATCCGCTTTAAACCACCGAAAGGAGAATGCTGGGGAAGGCTGCAGAGCAGGAGTTGGGTTGCTCAGGGAGGAGGAGGAGCCGGGAGCTGTGGGCAGCCTGGGCGCTGGCAGAGCCCTCAGCGGCCCGGCCGGCAGAGCTCGGTGCTGCTGACCCCGGTACTCAGGAAAGGTGGGCTGTGAAACCGCTGAACCCATACAGGAACTTACTGAATACTCCTGGCTAAATCCGTACAGGAACAAAGGGAGTTGGTAAAAGTAACACCATGATCCTAAAGCGGCAGCCTGTAAGAGACGGAAAAGGAATTTGAGAGGAGGCTATCTAGAATACAGACTTGAAGGGCTTCAAGGCGGGAGACAGGGTATGAAACAGGTATAGCTCAAGTAAGTGAGGGGATGAAACAGGTATAGCTCAAGTAAGTGCTGAAGACCCGGACCTGATCTTAAATGGAGCTTTGGACCTATGGAAAAGGGTGGATGTGGAAGCCCCAGATGAGGCTGAGCAGGACAAGCTTACTGTGTTAGTGCACTCACAACCCTGATGAGGATGAGATTTCATTCACCTGTTGTATATTGCTGTGGCTTTAGTTACTTTTCTAGGGGAAATTTTTTTGCTGTAATACTACAGGTTTGCTCTGCTGGATGTAGCTCTCTATTCCTGCTGTTTTGATGGACGGCACTTTTTTTTATCTTCTTCAATAGATTGTACTATAAAGCTTGCCATGGGCCAAGGAAGAAGAGAGTACTGTGCTTAAAGTCTAGATTTAGGGCTGCCAGGGCAAAAAAAAAACAGTGGTAGGTAGGCAGTGTTTTGCTTTTTACATTTCTCCTACCTAGCCCTCTGCACTTAACTATTTCCAAATACTGCTGTTCTGTGCTGTGTGGGTGTTCTTCCCTCAGTGCCTGGTGAACACACAGCTGGGTGGGCTCTGTTCTCAGCTAAGCATGCCTGTTGCTGGTGCTTCTGGAAGGCTCCATATTTGCACTCATGGGGAAGTAGAAGACAGCTCTTGTGGTATTTTGTACTGTAAGATTGTATTTTTGTACAGGTGCTGTAGCCTGTGTAGCAGAAATGGGGCGTTCAACTGGGGCTAGGTTAGATATGTTTACTTGGTTTTGGGATGCCCTGCCCCTTTTATGTATGGAATAACATGGGACTGTGTTGCAGAAAGGAAACTGTTTGCAGGAACTAATATTTCCTAGTTTTTATAGTTTCCCTCTACAGTAACCTACAACTGCAAGCTTCATCTGCAAGCTCAGCAAACTTTTGTGCTTTTGCCTACATGGGAAAGGAAAGGAGCAGCTTTTACTGGTAAACTGTGGTTACTTTAAGCCCTGCTGTGTGAACTAACTGCTGTGAGGAGCCAGGGAAATTACTGTGTTTGCTTCACTGGCTCACTTTGCTTCTCCTCTGGTTAATAAGTATCTCCCTCTCCTGCCTGGCCTTTGCCAGTTAGGTCTGTTCCCTGTGCTCTGCGACAGCTTCTCTTCAAAGATGTGTGGCTCTCTAGGTGTGCTCCCCTGTTGTGCCTGCAGCTGTCCAGATGACCTGGCAGGGAAAGTCGTTTTGTCCTTGTATTCCCCAAGGCAGTAGTGGGAGATCCTGGGATCTAAAAGACAAGCAAATTCAACAGATTTATCTTACCATTGTGAATCCCTTTGTTCCCCTCACCTATTCCTCAGAAGTCTTTTCAGTCCTGCCCTTGGCTGCCATGTCCCTTTTGTTAAGGCTGTAGGGAGGGCTATGCATGGGATCTTTTTAATACCACAGTGACTAAACTGCCCCCAGCACTCGAGGTGAGGAGGCCCCAGTCAGAGCAGACTGGGACAATCCCCTCCCTTGCCTAGCAGGCCATGCTGTCCCTGATGCCCTCAGGACAGGCTTGGCCCTCCTGGCTGTCAGGGCACTGCTGGCTGATGTTCAGCTTGGCATTGACCAGGACCCCTGGGTCTGTTTCTGCAGCACTGCTCTCCAGCCTCTCATTTCCCAGCTCATCTCAGGAGAACGTTTCCATGAGAGGTCTCTGGCCTTTCCACTCTTTCCATCACCAAGAAAAAGTGAAGAGAGATAGCATTAGTATTCAAACACGTACTCAATCATTTCCTTGTTACTGCTTGTAAGTGCCTAGCAAAAAAGCATTGGCTCCAGAAAGAACAATCTATTCCTTTTCTTTGGACAGGGATAAGACAGACCCTTGAGAATAATGCTGCAGATGCAGCTGTGTTCATATGCTGCAGTGAACTGAAGTGAGGAAAGGTTTGTACAGTCAGTTTTGGGTAAGGTGGTAGGATGAGATGCTCCCTCTATTTCCTCTCTCTTTTTTTTTTTTTTTTTTTAAAACTTTTTATACTGGAAGTTAGAAGATACACAGCTTAACAAGGGAAATAATGTGGAACAGTCATAAAGTCATAAGTGTGGTTATCCATCTGTTTAAATAGTTCTTAATATATACTTGCTGTTCCATAATAGTAAAATAATTTGCTTAAAGATTATTGTTTTCAACTAGTTAACTTTTGTCTTTCACTTAAATCCCAAGTTGGTTCTGTATTTGCACACTTCCCCAGTGTCCATGTGTTCTTTATTCTAGTGTATATTTTTGGGATGATTCAGGGGGGAAAGTTACGGTTTCTTCTTTGCATACCTGGAATTACTCATAAGGCTTTATCATCAGGAAGTGCTTTTTGTCCTAGTACTTCCCTATTGAGAGAACAAACACCTTGGTTTTGGAAGACAGGCAGTGGCACAGAGTTTGTAAGCTTAAAGTATGTTTTGAGTAAAGAAAGATTTGCAGGTAACAAGAGAGTTTGACTAACTTCTAAGATAGAGTTGATTAGTGGAAAATAGTTGGTTCCTTTCTGCTTGTAACCACATCTGTTCTAACATTAGCAATGATTCTAAGCTGCATACAGAATGTCCACTGACTGCTTGGGAATGACTGCTCTCACTGGGAAGCCAGACTGTCAGGGCTCTGCTTTTGCTGTGCTGAAGGGCATCAATGAAAGATCTCACTGGTTACAAGTGTTTTTTCAAAGTTTGCAAAGGAATAGGCTGAGTAATTTAGGCAGGATCTGTTGCTTTGTCTTCAGCGACAAAATTAGTAAGTTGAGTCCTGCTCTGTGAACAATAACGGCGTCCTTCTGCTGCTTATTGTCTCTGTACTCAAACATGAGCATAGTCTTACAGAAACTGGTAAATTCCATTTGACAGACAGCATCTTCTCGATGAAAACACAGAACCTCGAGCTACTTCATTCTGTTGGGAGCAACTTTGCTTCTCCCTAGGAGTTGTCCTTGCTCAAAGAAGCCATGACAAAACCTAAGTTAGGGATGAGTATAAAGCAGGTATTGCTTGTTCTTTTCCTCAGCTGTTGCTCCAGGTTTCTCCAGACCGCTGTATTATTGTAACAGCTTTTCCTCGTTGTAGCGCTGTTTTCTCGGCCACCTAGGGGACGTGCGATTGGAGCCAGCTGGAAAAGGCGGTTTCCGTCCTGGGGGCAGAGTCCCGCGGCGTCCCGGAAAGGCGAAGCGCGGCCGGGCAGGGGCAGCCCCGTGCCCAGCTCTGCAGGGGGCGCCGCGGGCGGGAGGCGGGGCCGGGAGGAGCCCGGTGCCGTGTCCCGTGCGTGCCGGGGCCGAGGGACAGCCGCGGGGGGATGCACCGCCTTGCTGCGCCGCCGATGTGAGGGAAGGGGAGCGGCCCCTTGCGCGCCGGTCCCGGACCATGGCCGCCCCCGGTAGGTGCCGCGGCTGTCGTCCCGGGAGCCGCGGGGAAGCGGCGGGGCTTCTCCGCCGCTCGTGCTGCGCGGCGGCCCCGCTGCGCTGCGGCGGCCGCGGCTCTCGGCAGCTGCCCGCGCCAAGGTGCCGGCAAGCGGAGCGTAGCGGAGCGCTGGCCGCTCCCCCCGCGGGGCGGTGCCGCTGCGCGGCTCTGCGCGCCCCTGGCGAGGCGCTGCCGGGGCAGGGGAAGGGGGGTCCGCGCTCAGGGACCCCTGGCGCTCTCCAGAGGCACGGTCCCTCTTCTGCTCGTAGCCGGGCTGCAGCGCTTTCTAGCTCGCCTTGCTTCACTTGTCTGGAGTTCAGGGCAGCTGCTGGCAGAGCTTTCCGGCGTCTGAAGTGCGCTTCGGCTTGGCAGGTCAGCGAGCTCTGAGGGAAAGTGTTCTGTAGAGCTCTGAGGGAAAGTGTTCTGTAAAATTCTGTAATTTTCTCCTGTCTGCCTTTACTACTTGCATGTTTTTCTGTGATGTTTTATAGAGAAGTCAGTTTTTCCTAAATACGGTTTTATTCTTCAGCACCACTTGCTTTTGGAGGTATGACTTGGTGCCGCTTGCCACAGTGGCACAGGATCCCAAGCTGAGCTAGTCTGCTGTAATTGAAAGTATTTTAGCTGACGTATGTGCAGGTAAAACTACCTAGAATAAGAGCTGCAAACTCAAGGGGAGAGGGGTTTAGCCGGTGTTGTGTAAGTCTTGCTAATGCCCAGTTTGCAAGTTCCTCTCTTTGCAGGGAAGTGTATGGGTTTTATCTAAAAAAGGAAAAAACGTGCCATTCTCAGGGTGTGAAGTAACATTTGCGTTTCATTGACGCATATCTCCTTGTGAGGTAAAAATAAGCTAAATGGAGGCCTCAGGAGACTTGTGGCCAAAACTACTTTTCTCCTTATAAACAGAAGGTGATTTCACAGAGACCCTTAAAAAGAGAACAACTTTAGATTAACATATCATAATGCAAATCTCTTGTTCCTCTCTGTGAAGTTTGGTTTGCAGAAATTTTATCTGCTTTGGTTCTGCTATTTCCTCTTGCTTGTTTGCAGCACTTTATTTAAAGTGAAGATTTTCTATTCCAGTTGAGGTAAGAAGTCTCATGTGATCACTATTACTATGCATTCCATGCATGCAGAGAATGCATTTATTTCATCATACATCACTTAAATACACACACTTCACATACTGAAATGTGGAAGGTGCAGAGGACTTCTCTTAATGGCCCACTAGCAGTTTCTATCACTTCCTGAAAGTGCTCTCTTTTAAGAATTTTATTATTAAGACACTTTGAGTTGTGTTTCCTTCACACCATAGACAATTATCTTCCATGAAGAGTGAATTCCCATCTATCAAGGACTGTGATTTTGGACAGCATTACTTCTGTATCCTCCATACACATGAATCACAAAACACCCTGGAACAGGTTACATAATGCCTTTCTTATGTAGTCAGAATTGGAGATGGATTTTTTCTAGCAGATGAAGATAAATTGTTTGCCACTGCATATGATCCTCTGAGTTGGAGTGAAGGATTTAGTCTCAGTTTTTTTACCTGGTCTGTGGACAATGAGAAGTCATGACCCACTTATGAGTGGTATGCAAAAGCTGAAGCAGAAAAGTTGTGTATTACTACAAGCCCTGAATATTCTTTATGAGGCCCACAAGTACAATGGAAAACTTTATGATCTGTAAATTGAAAATGGGTCAAACCTTTTGCCTTAGGGAGTGAAACAATGGATAACAGCTGATAATGTAAGATGTAGTCTTACCCAGAGCTGATATTCCAGCTTCCCACGGTATTGTTTAGCTATTTCAGTGGTAATCAGAACCTTATGATACGGCCATAAACCACTATCACATGTTTGGGCTGAGCCTAAAGATTATCACCTCGCTACTTGCAGACATAGTTTGGGGGTGTGCCTGATTTGTTTGCTTCTCAGAGGGAGACTGTGAAGACATGACGTGGTCATGCATACTTCTATATGCTTGCCATGAGCGTATGTGATTTTTACTGAATTGTTTCATCCTCTTCCATTCCATGTGCGGTTTGTGAGCTAGGGAAAGCTTTGTATCGTGTCATTTGTGCTATTTAATTTGTGGCTTACACTTCAATTATAGGTCTTAGGCATGTCTATGGTACTGGTTTGTAATCTCATCAGTCTGTTATCACTGCTGTGTAGTGAAGTGTGCAGCTAAACACTGGAGAGGCAGTTACAGCTGGAAAGCATTCCAAAGGTTATAGTTTATTATTGCAAACTGCAACAGAACTGCACCTTTATGATTTTCTATGAAGTAGATGAACGTGCCCTGCAGTATTGTTAATAGTGCTGACATTTTGTAACGGAGGCCAAAGTATTTTTAACACCCTAAGCTTAGGAATCCAGCAACAAGGTATTGTTAAAATTTAAACTAGATCACACTTGAGAGTGTGAAAGATAGACTTGTGCCAGCCAATCCTTTTTCTTCAACTTGCTGTTGTGTATAGTGTTCGTATATTTCTTCCTTTAGTTGGAAACTTTTCCAAAACCAGCCTGTCAAAAGCATTGTCAAACCGTCTATCTAAGGGCAGGGTTTAAGGAAATAAAATGTTTGGTGTTCACCAAAGGATTTCCATATATGCTTACAACAGGCAGAGTATACATTATGTTTTGAACTGTGCTCTGTGAGTTTTTCTGATGTTTGAAGCATTGTGAAAAAACTCCCTGAAATGTTCTGTATTCTTTTTACGCTGTTCTCTGAGGACTGGACAGTAGTTAGTGCTGCAAAGGCAGCTATTTGGTTAAACAAATAATAGCATGATCCAGGAAGGAGAGTCCTGTGTCATTCTTCTTTTAAAGGAAAATGTTGCAATTGAAGTTATTTCTAGATTTTTGGGTTTTTTTTTAAAACAGTCCCAGTGCTGACTTAAGCTTATTTAGCTCTGCAAGACCTACTTCCAGTATTTTTGCTTATGAACATGGAGTGTTACTTTGGCTCTACAAGTGGAGTCAGTAATGTTATTTCTCAGTTCTTGTTTTAGGAGCATTGTTCCTCAGTTTATTGCTTGTGTGTAAAAGGCTGGGGGAGCTGAGGGAAGAAGGCCTGAGGAGAGCTGGTACAGCTCTGTTAAAGGGAATGGTGTTCTTGTAGAGCAGCGCTAGCTAGGAAATCAATACCTTTCCTAAACACCAGGTGAAGTTCCTTCCTGCTGGATGCAAAGGTTGCACTGCTCTGGCAGGAAATTTGCATTGAGTCTGTCCAGTTTGCATCCTTTATCTACACACCAGAGAAGGGAGGGATTCTTGGATAGTTAGTGCCCCTGCAGTGTGAGGCGTGTTTGAAGTCAATGGCTCTTCCACCCTGAATCCAAGCACAGCTGCTTACTTTCATTGAAAGCCTGAAGAAGTGCCTGTTGGCTCACAAGTATAGTGTGGAAGCTGTGTGCTTCCTAAAAGTGAATGACAGGATTAGTTGTTCCGTTTTATAGAACGTTAAAGTGCCTGGGAGGCCACTGCTGATTTTTCCAGAGACTGGAGGTGGGGCTGCTGCCAGAGAGCACCAGGGTAGGATTTCAAGAGCTTTGGGCACACCTCAGAGGGTCATTGTGTGGTTCCTCATCTGTTGAGGCTGTGCTTATCTGGCCGTGGTGCAATGCGTGGGCTCCATTCTCAGCAGACAGTTGTGCTGTCCTTTCCCACTGTTCTGCATGTAAATCAGCCCAGGGCAGTGGAAGCAGAAGTCTGTGGTACATCTCCCTTTCTATCTAGAATAATACTTGAATTCTGCTTGGTTTTCATGTTTTTGCTCATGTAATTCTGTTGTCTTTGCCAGGTGGTGTTCAGCCACCATCAGTGATATTCTGGAAATGGTGGTGTGCTCACTGATGTGAAAGCTGTCTTTTTTCACAGCAGTTCTTCACTCTTAGGTTAAAGGTCCCAAGGTTTTGAGTGCTGAGGACTCCACTTTGAGTTTGCTGGGTCCTCTCCTTTGGAAATGTTGTCTCCCACAAGCCTCCATCTGTGGTTCAAGAGCTGTATTCACTCACAGACATGCAGCTATCCTAGTGAAATGTCAGCATTGCACTGCCCACGTTCTCCATAGCTAGAGTATTATCCTTTCACTGCTTCCTTAGAGACTGCCTTATTTATGCAGGTAGCTGTAATTGGTCGAACATTGAGCACATCTCCATTCTTCTCAATCGTATCACTTCTGCTGAACTACAGTTTAAAGCTGCTAATTGTATAGTTTAAGGCTAGGGTCCCTCAGCCTAGACCTTCTTTCTGTCTTCGTTTCATAACGAAGGTTCTGGGGAAGGTGATAGAATCAAGTCTTTGAAGGCTGTGCAATTTTGCTTGAATTTTTCTAAGGTGACTGCAAAACTGTTATCTTCAGTTCTGGTAAATGCACTCTGCAGATCCTCTCTTTGGCTGCCAAATTTTAGGCATTGTTCTCTGCTTTAATTTGAAAAATTTGCCTTTGCTTGTGTCATGATGGAGATGGATTTAAAATGTTGACACTTCTAAAGAATCAAACTGGAATTAGAAGACAATTTGTTAACAAGATTTTAAATGCTCAGCTCTGAAATTTACCCTGGACCTGAGTTGTAAACCTCAGTTTTGAATAAACTTCTTCACAGGTAAATAGAAAAATTAAATGTAAACTTAAAAGCTTCCTTGAGCCTGGTGGGAGAGCACTGCATCATGTCACACTGGTTCAATTTGCATCTACTCTTAGCAAGCTGTTAACATTTTTAAGTGCCTTTGTGCCAGAGCACTGAAATGCCTGAGTCTGTAGGTAGAAGCTGTCTCTAGAGAACTATGGGAGAAGTCAACTTTGGTGAGCATATTTTGGGTTGTCTTATGGTCACCACTATTGTATTAGTTCTTCCCTCTGAAGAGAGTGTTTGTCACTCCAAAAATTGTTGGGAAAGCTTTCGATGGCAGTTTTGAGGAAGGACTCTAACACAGCCTTGTGGAATGTCTGAAGCCTGAACAACAGAGTGGCTGTGGTGCAAACACTGGGGCTGGTGTTGTTTGCCCTTAGCTGCATGCATGCTTTTCAGGCAGTTTGCTTTCTGCTGCAGTGAGAGCAAATAGCTAACACCACGGGGGCCATAGTGACTTCCTGTAAGCGTGGTGTGACCTCATTTGTTATTTTAGGTGTGCTGTTTGGTGTCTGCTTGGGCATGTAATGATCTGCAGTTGTGTTGCAGAGACCATATAATTGCTTAAAATGATTTTAACTTTCATGCGAGCGTGAACTCCCCTTTTCAAGCTAGTTTGTTTTGAAGGTCTGGTTTTTGTGGTTTTTTTTTTTCCTTATCAGAATGCTTTAAATCTGTAAATCTGTGTAGTTTGTTTCACTTGAAACTATAGCAAGAGCATTTAATTTGTTTCATTGATAAGAATGAAAAAACGACTTAAATTTAGTGGAGTAGATGCAAGTAGGAGTTAGTTCACCCTTAGAATTGCTTTGTGGCTGTGAACCCCTCACTTTGGATAGAACTGCTGTTCTTTTGAAATGCTTTGTAGTTTCTGACAGGAATTAGAGGCAGCGCTGTGGGGTTTTTTGTTGCAAAGCAGTGGGTGAGTTCATGGTTTGAATTGAATCTTTTTTCTTGTGATCGTCTTGCACCTGTACAGGAGCCCCTGGAGAATACGATGTGCTGATCGTGTTTGCAAGTGACGCCGCTGAATGGTGTCAGTACCTCCAGAACCTCTTCCTCTTTACGTGGCAAGTTCGAAAGCATCGGATTCTGAGCTACCAGCTGGAAGACGACTCTGCCATCTCCCACCAGGAGCTGGACCTGTTCAGCAGAAGTCGGAGTATCATCCTTTTGCTTTCTGCTGGGCTGGTGCAGAGTTTTTATGTTCCTCACATCCTGCAGAGCCTTCAGGAAGCTTTATGGCCCCCGTGCAAAGTAGTCAAGCTGTTCTGTGGTGTTACGGACTGTGATGACTATTTGACCTTTTTCAAGGACTGGGCTCAGTGGCAAGAACTCACAAATGATGATGAGCCTGATGCTTACCTTGCAGCTGTTGAGAAGGCTATTTCAGAAGGTAAGACCATAGCTAGGAGCTGTGAGTTCTTGTTGGAGGAGGGAGATACATGGTGCTGTTTATTCTTATTTTTACACTGGTAATCTGCTTTACTTAAAGAGCAAACTAAGGCGAATTGTCCAACCCTTGTAAACAAGAAAGTTATGCAAGCAAATTTTTCTGTACCTGGCTGGTTGGTCCCTAATTCAGAAGAAATTACCAGCAACTCAGAGAGAACTTCTGAATTTGAGGCTGTCTTGAGTGGCTACTTTTGAAGCAAATTGAAGATTAAAACTTTCTATATTTAAAATTCTGCCTGTAAATATTGTACTCTGCAGTTTATTGAACAAAATCAATGGAAAATTGTCATTTATTTATTTTAGGGAAAGGAATTATCTTTTTCTTCAGACTTGTTTCTGTCATACCAGAACCGAAATAAAGTCTAATATGTATTCTCTAGCACTGGGCCTGAAATCAAGGATGTAACCATACCATGCAGATCACTTTGTTACCTATGATTAAAAGGCAGAGATTAATTAAAGAATTGCACTGATTTCCTTAAGCACAGAAGTATTAAGAGCTGGAGACCACACAAGCTCAATGTACTGAGTTTTGATTCCTTATTTTCCTAAACTCTAGAAGAGCATGTAGAATTCCTTTCTCACCATTTCTGTTGAAATGAAGGTGGAGAGCTCTGGGCAGTCGTGCTGGTCTGGATATTTTTATGACATTGCCATAGGTAGGGTTATACTGTTCTTTGTCAGCCTCAGCAAGACTGGAATCCTGTGGTTGCATCTTGGCTTAAGATTTATCTCTATTCCATGGCTTAAGTTAGGCATTGTGTTTAGTGTTGTGTGCATAAAGGCTCTGGAGTCTGACTTCCCACAGTTGGATCTAAAGTCCTTCTCCATCTGTGCCACAAGTTAGCATGTACTGAAACAAAGCGTGCTTTGGCTTTATTTTTATTGCTGTTTCTACATAACAAAAAAATCAGTTTATTTTCTGTTTTCTCCCTTTAATAAGCATGCATTGATCTCAAACTGACTTCAGCGTATCTAGAAAATACTTGACTGGGAGAAAAAATGAGCTAAAACTAAACTCATTTGCTGTGGAGTCTGCTGTAACATGTTCTAGATAGTCTGCTACGCAAGTATTCAGAATTTCTGGACTTCTCTTACTGTTATGGCAGTCATAGCTGATGTGGCTGTCACCTGCATGCCATGTCAAGTTTTTGGTTTGTGCACATCAGAGCAGTTGCAAAGGTGAGCCATCTGCTGTCACTGTGATTCTTGTGAAAGAAGAACCCCTTTAAGATGGGCTGCTTTCATGGCCAAAGTATTTGGATTAATGTATCAGATCCTACTTCTGTGTGGGGAAAAAATTACTCTGTGACCTCTTCTATTGTGTGATTCTATACAAGTGCTGTGAATGGCCTCAAATGCAAATGTTCTCGTGTTTCCCCTGAAAACAGCCCCAGGTGTACATAGTTCCTTTTTTGGGTGAAACTGTGAAAACTTTCTTCTTGATTGGTAAAAAACAAATTTGCTGTATTTAGTTGCAGCATGAGAGTAACTTAAAATATTTGTGACAGCAGACCTCTCCCACAGAGAAATGCAGCCTCTGCTCTGGTCTTAGGTTTGAATTTTTCCTGATTAAAGCAACCCTTAATTCTTACAGCACTTAGCAGAGAAAGTTCATGACCATATTTGAAATTGTTTGGGTCTGGGTGTCTTCCTCTGGGAAGCACTTCTCTTCACATGTGCTCACCTGTACTTCTAACAGCAGTGTCAAAACTAGGCCTGATGCTAAATGACTCAGCTTCAGCTTCCAAACTGCTGAATCCTGAGCTGGTGAGGCATGGTGCAGGGCTACAGGATGCAGTCAGGGCAAATTCTTCTCCAGAGGCTGCACACTGGCCCTGTGCAGGCTGTGCTGTTGCCTCTAGCACAGCTGTTGGCTGTGGTTTGTTTAGAGCATCATGGGACTATGACACCCCAAGACATCACATGCTGAAACCTATTTTAATTTTTATTAGTTTAGTATAAATTCAGAAATGAGGAAACATTTATCTGGCCTTGAGAACTTTATCTTTGTAGGTCAGGAAGAGCTGAAATGTTACTCTACCTTCAGAGGGGCTCATTAAGAGATGTCAGAGGCCAAGGCAGTAAGCTTTTTTGAGAGGGAAATGGCATAAGAAGAATCACATAAGCTGTATAACTCTTCCTCCTGTTCGTGTCAAGGAATTGAATTGAATTAAATTCCTGCCTTTCTTCTGTTGCACAGATGAAACTTGAGAGCATATCATTCAGGTTGGAAGGGACCTCTTGAGATCATCTAAAACTTTCTGCTCAAGCCTGGTTAGATAAAGCAGGTTGCCCAAGACTATTTCCAGTTGGGGGTTTAATGTCTCTGCAGGTGAAGACTGCAGGACTTCACAGCTCTCTGAGCAACCTGTTCCAATGTTTGACCACCTCAAGAGTAACAAAACGTTTTCTTGTGTTCAGATGGAACCTCGTTAATTTTCGTTTGTGCGTATTGCCTCTTTTCCTGTCAGTGAGCACTATGGAAAGGTCTGGCTCCCTCTTTTTCATTGTCTCCTATCTTGTCCGTATAAGATTCTCCTGAGTTGTCTTTTCTGCAGGCTGAAGAGTTCCAGCTCTTGCAGCCTCTCCTCTTGTGAAAGATGCTATGGTTCATTAAGCATCTTTATAGTCCCATGCTGGACTCAAGTTGTAAAGATAAACCTTAGAATAAGCTACTTAGAATTTAAGGTCATATTGGACAGATGTTCTCAACTGTTTCTCAACCCAGACAGGTGAAGTTGTAGTGCATGCGAGATTTCCTACAGCTTTGTTTCTGTAATTATTTGATTATTTGTTTACTTTTGCTAATAGGTGCCATTTAAGGCTAGACACCTAAATTCACATTGTATTTTAAAGTTTGGTGTGAACTGCCATGTGTTTACTTCTCCAGTCTCAGTGCTCTGTGGAGGAATACGTTCCAAGTAGTTCCCTCTCAGCTAATTGCACCCAACATTGACTTCTGCCAGCTTATTGAATTGGCCTTGAAGATGTGAGGTGGTAGCCTGCAGTTCTCTCTCCCTCCTCTTTGAAGGGGTAAAATAGAATGGATTCTTAAAACTATTTTTCTCTGTTCTATCTTGTTTAAACTTAAGATGTGGTTCTTTGACCCTGCTCATTGAAGAGGAGCGGGTGGGCTGTTAGTCAGCCCTCTGGGTGCAAATGAGAGCCCTCTTTGTTACATGGGAGCTCGGCAGCCTGGCTGGTTCTCACTGCCTGTCAAGAAGAGGAAACTGTGACACTCTTGCACAGGAGTTCAGGTTGAGAGAACATGCTGGTCACATGCCTCTCCAGGCATGGGTGTACATGACTGATGCTGGAAAGTCAGAAACTTCAGAGAGCTGGTTAAAGCAATTGGAGAAACCTTAAGTAAGCCCCCATGTGATACTGAGAGTTGTCTAAGAGAAATGCATGGATGTTTTTATCCATCTGTAGCATATGGGATCAAGCAGTTAAAATCATCTTCCCAGCTGCAGGATTGATTAATTGTTTGTCATCAAGGTGTTTCATTAAGTCTCAGTTTATTTACATAAAAACCAATACCTCATGGGTTTTCTTCCATGGCATTATAAAATTCAAGCAGTGCTAGCATAGGTGTGTACTAACTTTCTAAATAGATATAATGAAATGATAGCCCAGAAATAGTAAAGGACAGAAACTGTTGTGGTTAAAAACTTCAGACTATTATAGTCTTTATGCACCTTGTAAATGCTAATGGTATTTCTCTGTGGCTTGTGGTTCTGACAATCTTCTCACAGGTTACTTTATGGTCTAAGACTAATTCTAGGTATCTGCTAATGAGAACTGCAAGGCTTTAAAACACTTGCTTAAAGTAAGAGCCCAGTGGCCATCACTGATCATATTTAAGTCTGGAGCAGCTGAAGTGATTTTTGAAAAATCTCAGTAGAAGTATGTGGTCAAGAAAAAGATGCTTTGGAGAGCAGGTCTGGAGAGATGTATGGAACAGAATTTAGGTTATTTCACAGACCCTTTGTACGTACTTGAACAGTTGTTTTGCTTCCAGGGTTGCATTTTGTAAGATTTTCATGGCTGTTTGTTATTACCTCAGAAAACTTTTGATGTGTTTTTCAAAAGTGACTTGAGAATAACAGTGTATCTTGAGTTTCCCATGGGGAAATGTGACCAGTGGCATAGGCTAGAGTGCTGCAAAAGAGTGTCTGCCTCATTCTCCACCTTTCATCTGTCTGGATGATTTGGTGTGGTGTTCGACTACAAGGGTGGAATTCCAAGAGAAATTATATGAAGGAGAGGCAAGATGTGACTGCCCTTGCAGTAGTAATGTGGTCTTAGATCTACTGGAGCCACTCGTAGAACCACACATTCAGTCAAACAGTGCCCAACTCTCTGAGATGGAGTTCCAGGTTTTTAGGCTTTTATGGGAAAATTCTGTCATGCAAGCGTTACACATTGCACTTAAAGTGAAGCAAGGAGGTACTGCAAGAGGAGATAATGAATTAGCAAGCTGGATGTTCATGTCTCTTACCTGTGGCTTCTCAGGAAGACTTGAATCACTGATGAATATAATGTGATTCTTGGCACCCTTGAAAGTCGTAAGAGGTGTGCATATGCCTTGTCAGTATGTGTTGTCTCTTTCTGCCAGAAGTAGTGGAAGTGAACTATTCCAGCCTCTCTTGCTTGAGATTTTGGTCACGTACACAATGTCTGTTGTCTGGGTGGCTGGAACCCTGCTTCCTCCTCAATGTCTTCCCTATCTCTCTCCTGTTCCTGTGTGCCCCAGCTAGTTCTTTCGGTTTATACACTTGATCCAGTCACAAATTGACCGCTAGACCTGCGAGAACCTTAGCAAAACTTGACATAGTCAAATACACCTTGGTTCCTGGATGCAGGATGAGAAATAATTTATTATAGTTTCAAACTTTGCTTGACATATGAAACATGACTATGTTTTTTGTAGAATTGAAAATCTTTTTGTAGTTGCTGTGCTTGTAGATGAGCTGCTTGGGGTGAGGGATTCGGAGAGAAGGGGGAGATGTCTCATTTTTTGTTCTGTCTGGACAGTTTTACCAAGTCCTAAATTTTCCTGTATTTTGTTCTTCTCACTTGTTGTTTTTCTGCAGGCTTCTCTCCGCTCCATTGAAACCGGAAATGTTGCTACAGTGTTGCCCAGTTCTGAGGGCTTATCACAAGATGTTCTTCTGATGCGCCTTTATCTCGGTGGTGAAGCAGGGGCTCTGATGTTAGCACGATGAAAGATACCTTTCCCTGCTTTCCCTAACTACTTGTCAGTACTTTGTCTGCTTCTTGCAAATGTAGTTGTAGTTGCTCTGGGAGACTTAATGTCCTCACTAGCACTTGGGAAAGGATGCTGGCCAGTTGCAAGCTTCAGGTAAAAGCAGGAGCTTCTTTGAGGGCCTTCCCTCTTGCTCTAAGCATTGTGAGGTCTATGCTTAAAGTCCAAGGCCTTGTGAAAGCTAATTGTCTCGACTGGTTGATGCTCAGAATGGGAGGTGTTTGCAGATGTCAGTGAGGGGCTGGTCTGCCCACACAGAACTTAAGAGACAAGCTGTTGCCCAGTTGTGCCATTAGCATTGATATCTGGGTGACAGAGTGCTCTGGAGACAGACTGCTGACTTCTTCCAAGCATTCACATGTCCTATGGTGTGAGGGCTGACTTGTGAGAAACCACAGCTGTCAGCTCCATGCTGATAGCCCGCCAGCTTTGCCAGGAGGAAGTGGATGATAGGGAGAGCTGTGTGCTCTACAGCAGCAGCAAAACGACTGGCTGCTTCATAGGAGTTTCTAAAGCTGCTAAATGGCTCTTGAAGCACACATCAATGCCTGTGTTTTTCCTGGGCTTTTCCCTGGGATGAGTGTCTGCAGGACAGCTGTGCAGGGAGCCCAGCAGGGCAGACAAGAAGGGTGTGAGGCTGCTCTCTGCAGCTCAGCTGCTGATGCATCCTGGAGGGGGGCACATTCTTCAAGGGGAAATGTGGTTGGGTTTCTTGGACCGCATCTCCTCCCCTTGCTGCTATTCTCACAAGTATTTCACAGACTGTCAAGAGAGGCCTGAGGGAGCCTTTGTTTAAAAGGGAGCAGAAAGGGAGAGCCTCTCATAACCATGAGTGTTGACCTACAGCACGTGCTCATGGAGAAGCTTAATTCAGGTATTCACTTAACTTTAATAAGTCTGTTGATCTCCTCAGTGATGGCCTCTCTAGGCTGGCTGTTATTGCAGTGTTATAACTGCTGAATCTGTATATGCAAATGGGTTCTCATTGCTCAAGTATCTTAGTGGGTGGGAAACCTGCTCTAACAATGCTTTAGAGCATGGATATTATCAAATGTTATGGGATGGTTTCCTCTTCCAGAGCTTTCACATTCATGAGTCAGTCACTAGCACATGACTGGAATTTCAAGATGAATCATAGGATCACCTCACTGCTGATGTGGGAATTTGGTACTTCGCAATTTCAGTATTTTCTGAATGAAAAAACAGATGAATAATTCATACATGAAACTGAGTTCCTGTTCCTTCAGCTATTAATCCAATTACTGATTAACATTGCGTGCTTCTTCCTGTATTACCTAACAGCTCTGTGTTCACATGACCTCCAGGCAGTGAACTCTGTTACAAGAATGCAGAAGTGCAATGCCAGAACTTCTTAAAAGCTCTAGTTATTCTTTATTTGCTAAATTGTTTCTAGTATCCAATAACACCTTTAAAGTAGAGAGACCAGGGGGCTTGTTCTCTCCTTGCCTTCCCTCTTATCCTTGCTTGCTGTGTATGTTGTAGCTGAGATCCATAGTTTTGGTTTGAATTTTGTCTGAAAAGGACCATGTGTTGGTCAAGTGAGGTAAAAATTACCACACTAATGGTTCTGTCTTGGGTTGGGGATGAAGCCCTGAGGATCAGGATGCTGGCAAGTGTCCATTGTGCATATGTTGCGGGAACATCAATGTGTTGCTGTGTTTTGGTCATCATTGGCTTTCTCATCTGCTGTGAGCTTCGTCTTTCTGATTTAGTCATATTGGAGGTAACCAACAGATTACAGAGACACTAGTCTAGTAACAGTTGCCTCTTCTCCCCAGAAGATATGGCACCTTGCTCTGCATATGCCAAATACCTGAATTGATAGCTGTCATATCAGGATAGATGTGGGACCAATGCTTTTTCTCCTCTATGCAACAGGGCAGCCTGGCACTCCCAGGTGGGAGTAGTCCATGTTTCTCTAAGAGAAGGATTCCCAAAATGTGTCTGGTTCTTGCAGCTGATGACTTTGAGCAGTACCAATTGAAATACTGAGTTAAGGAATACAATGCCTCAGTTATTTTTCTAATACTTGATACTGGTCTGAAAATCCCAAAGACCACCTTCAGTACAGCCTTCAGCCTCGTGTCAAAGCAGTTGCTTAGCCAAATCTTCAGACTTGGTTCAGTATTAAAAGCTTTTTGTTAAATTACGTATACTGTTCTACGTTTGTTTAAGAAATGTTGGTGTTAGTGGTCATGCCTTATTTGAGCTTCAGAGCTGCAAATTTTTGGCTCTTTTCTTTCTACAGTAAACATTAATGCGGCAATCTACTTGTACTCATGTGAGTAGGCTTATTTGCCATGTGGAGAGATTCACATACTTAGTTAAGTGTGTGTGCACCAAAATTTGTGAAAAAAAAATTCACCTGAATGATTTGCTAAAGTTTTGTGGCTTAAAACTTGTCTCCTGAAAGCAAGGATGATTTCTTATAATTCCTAAAATCCCATTTAAATGTATTGAAAATACCTTTTAAAGAATTGTGTGACAAAGCACTTCAAATATCCTAAGTTTAAGTCTTTGGTGGTAATAATAATAATAATAGTTATGAAGACCTCTACATTAAAGTTCTTGACAGACTTGTGTCTTCAGTTTGAAACTAGGAATACCTGAACTTCTAATGGTGGCCCACTTATAATTATTTTGGCTCTCTTGATTTGTGGAAAATTCATGTACTTGGAGATTGGGGGATTCTGAGTGAAATCTGAATTCTTGGCAGCTTCAGTGTATGGATGCGGCAGTTTTGACAGCACAGTTCTTCACTTAGGTCTTTCTCATCAGGACTGAGCACTTTAAATAGAATATTTCTTACTAATTTAAGAACAACGACAGTCCAAGTCTGAGATTTTATCTGGTAAATAATTTGTAGTACTCTTTACAGATGTGTTTTTTACTAAGTAGTAAATAACATGTAAATTCCAAAATCTTGTCTTAAAGCCTTAACTGCTTCACAGACTTACAAAGTTTGGGAAATTCTGACCACAGGAGATTGTCAGAAGACTATCATGACTTCTTAAAACTAAGTGGAGCCAGTGACTTTCACCTTGTGTTCCGGGAGGTGGTGGGGGGGCGGGAATGGTGTAAACCATCTGAATCAAGAAGTGGAAACTAGCTAAGAAAGTGTTCTAAGTAGCTACATAATTGTCTTTGGTTTCCTTTCTCTAACTGAGAAAAGTATTTCCTGGCAGGGATAGATAATCTGTTTTCATTCGGGCTGGATTTTTTTCCGCCAGTGGTATCAATTCAGTTTGTTTGCACTTCTATCAATATCCATGCTGGTTTTGGGAAATGAGAGTGAGAACATTGTTTTCTACACACACATATTGTAGGCTTACATGTGTTTATTCTACTCTTGATTCTGTTTAGGTAAAGTGCTGTTACTTTTCAATGCAAAGGTTCTGGTACTTTTCAGTTTCACTCTTGTATAGATACTGGCGCTTACGGTTCTTGCCCAAGGAACAGAGCCCCTTCACACTACTGCTTCATGTTTTATTTTTTGATGCAATAATCAAAGTTGGGGTAAACAGCACTGAGAAAACTAGAGATACTACTGAAATGACAAACACTGGTTTTCATGTTTTATTTTAGGAAAGTAAGACTAAAGGCTGCTGTCCATCTTACAGTATATCAGAGTGCTGCTTGAGTCAGATGAGTTCAGATACTGATCATTCTTATATTAGACAGTCACATGGTGACTTTCCTGTTTAACATGAGGAGACTGTCCAGCTCAGCAGAGTGCCACTGTTGTTTGCTCTGTAAGCATATTCAGTGCTACTCTGCTGCTTTCATGCTTTTAATTTCCTCCTCAAATCCTCTTAAGGTGAAAAAAAAAGAGGAAACTCTGTAGTTTCCCTTTCTTCAACTAGATCCCCTTTTCTGAGCATTACTTTGAGAGGAATAGCGAGTTCCATCCCACCACCTTCACAGCTGTTTTCAGGATGGATGTGTGTGATAAGCATTTTCAGCAAAGGGGAATGAGCCAGCAGGACTCTCTGTACTTTATTTTAGACTCAGGCTGTGACTCTGTGACTGATACAGAAACAGAAGACGAGAAGAATCCAGTTGACTCCCACAGACTTGCCATGAGTGAAGAACATGGATCATCCAGGAGCACTGGGGACTGTCCAGTGGTGCAGCCCAGCCGCATACAATGTGGGGTACTGTATGTCCACTCCTTGGGCTGTGTTCTTACTGTGAGCTGGTGCAGCTCATTATGCTGCTTCGTAATGTTCAGCTTTACAGGCCTGGAAATTAGTCCTGAATTCTTCTGTCACCTTCGTGCTCAGCCCCCTGCCCTCCATGTCTCTTGTTTCATGGGCTTGGCTCCCTAGGCCCAGGAGTAGCTTGGTAATGTGCAGTGCTTAGTGCTGTCTAGGCTATGATGTCACTTAATGACTGTCTCATTAACATGGCTGCTTGGCTTGGGTGCTGTGAGACAGGTTCACACTCTTCCCTTCTTCTGTTCTGCTGGCAAGTGGGGTAAGATGACTGTAATGAACTGATTAACTCCACAGTCAGTATCCAGTCTAATATGGCAATTCTGGTGCATGCCTTGCAAGTGACCCTGAAAAGCTTGCATCATGGCTTCTTGTCTGAAAACCAGCACTTTTTAATATAGCATCTTCTCAGATGGAAAGAGTCCAAGTTTCTTTGTTTTGTTTCTATGGCTTGCTGCTTAAGGTAAGAGATGGATAGAGTTGAAAGTAAGTAATTTTATAAATCTAGCCCAAATCAGTTTATAAATCTATCTAATAAATCTGGAGTTCTATCAGTTTAATGCTTCTAGGGAGAAGCATTAAACTGATAGAACTGATAGAAGCATTACAGAAGCTTCTATACTGGTGCAAGCTGCAGCAGAAGACACTTGCCCAGTTAGTCTGTGCCTGGAAGATGGTCCCGAAAATGATTCAAAACTGTGAAAATGATAGATGATAATTGATGTGTTAGTTGCAATGAGAACAAAATCCCTAGAAAATGGATTTAACCAAGTAAGTGTTTTTGTTTTGAACCTGTGTGTTGTAATGCCTTTTGTCTTAGGTGCAGACAACAGTTTATATTATCATGAAATGTAAACTAGATTGTGAAACGAAAACTGAAGTTGAATTTTCTCCAGAGAATGCATCCTCTGTGCGTGTGCTGGCTGAGATGGAGAATGAGTACACAATCTCTGTGCAGGCTCCAAGTAAGATGGACTGAGATTTTTTTTTTCCCCCCTCTCCTTCCCCACTGCTTCCTTTCTATCTCAACCTGTCTGTCCTGAGAAGTGCCAGGGACATAAGGGTAAAGATTGCAGTGCAGAAAAACTTGAGTCTGGAAAGTCTTGAACTTGCATTCTCACCTGTGATACTTTTGATGAGGAACTGAGAGAGACTGCTGCTTGTGGGCTCTGTTTTCCCCTCAGCAGCAGTAAGGTTGCAGGGTGGAAACACCTTGCTGAGACTTCTGAGAACACATTGCAGCTTGTAGAACACTTTGAACTTAGCTGTGTGTTATGACCACCACCATAGTAGCATTGGCAGGGCACCAAGAGAGAAGAAAAGTGCCAGTAAATAATTACATGACTGTAACAGCATGTGCTTAATGTGTAGTGATCTCTGTGATCAGAGCTGAGACTATTTATTCTGGCTTGCCTTTTAATTTAGATATGTTCTGTCACTCTAAATATTTACATATACAAAACTGAAAGATGCCTAAACTTTTAAGTTCACTGAACTTTAAAGAACTAATTTCAGAGCCTTTAAGATTGGTGTTATTTCCCAGCATTATTTAACCTACTTTAGTCTGTCCTCTTGAAGAGTCATTCTGCCATTCTCTCTGAGAACAGACTAATAGTCATTAAAGCAACTACCACAAAGTCAGTGAAGTGGTTTGATTTTAAAGAAGGTGACCTCATGAACATATAAAAGCTTAACTTAATGTCTTAAGTCAAGACTTATGATAGAAACACTGACCTGGAAACTAACTTGTACTTTGAATTATAAAAATTACCTTCACTTTGATGGAGTGTACAGTGTAAGCTCTGAGGTTTCTAACAGTAAGAGGAATACTTTTTAATTCCTTTGTGTTATTAACTGTTTCATAATTTCCCAAGTGGTTAACAGGGAAGGACTAATTTTAGTGGGATTCAAAATCTGCGTTACAAAGAGAAAGTTCAGACTTATAAATGCATATTAGGTGAAACATCAAGAAGCTCTAAGGTGCAGGTAGAAGATTATCCTGTGCATGGGTTAAGTTGCAAAGCTGGAATTCTTTTTAATTGCTTTTATTCAGAGGCTAGTGAGGCTGACAGGGATTGCAAAATCTTTAGTGACTTTTCTGATTTCTTTCCCTTTCTTTTCCAGCTCTTTGTATTTATGCTATGGCTTTATAAACAGCTCCAGAGAAGTCAGGGGTGAAGAGATGTGTGGCTTTCTAGTTCAAGGTGGAGTACTTTCAACATTAGTGGTTCAGTCTACTGTTAGCAGAGGACCTAGCAGGTTATGTGCATTGACATAGCTATAAAGAAGGTAGTTCCAAAGTACTTTCCTACCTAGTGTTTGAAGATCATGACTCTTCTCATGACTCTTCATGAATTCAATATAGCAGAAAGTGTTTGGATATACCACCAGATGGATACTGAAACTCCTCCTGTCCTCACAGTATGTCATGCAAACTCATGCCCATTGTTTGTGCTTATGGTTATTTTTGTTCTTTCTTTTCAAAGATTTAACCTCTGGGACAGTGCCCCTGAAGATATATTCAGGGGACTTGATGGTGGGAGAAACAAGTGTCACTTACCATACTGACATGGAGGAGATCAGCAATCTGTTGGCTAATGCAGCCAACCCTGTACAGTTCATGTGCCAGGTAAGGACTTTAGCAATCAGCTGCTTTGGAAACCAGCTCTTTCAGAGGCTACACAAGCATGCATAAGCAGAAGTGCTTGTCATGAAGTAGCTCTTCTGAAATGAAGAAATGCAAGTTATTCAGGGATTTTCACCTAACTCTAATATCCCCTTTTATTGAAAGCATGGGTGTTTTTTCTGTCTCTGGAGCACATAGCTGGCTAAGGTGAGTCAGGTTATCAAATGAAGAAAAAAATGTGGTCAATCAACACCTACATTTAGGCCATGATGGCTTCAAAAGGTTGGAATGACAGAACTTGATATAACAGAAAGTACTATAAAGAAATAAAGTGTTTTGGAATTTGTACCTAGGCGTTGCTAAAAAAAAATATGTTAATAGTAGCAAAGATTCATGTTAGCTGGAGGAAGCAGAGTAACATAAAATGATTTGTTGGTTCTTAACACTTACTTTTTCAAAACAGCCACTCAGTTTTCCTATTCTGTTTTGCCCATTTGGGGTACCTGAACCCTATTAGAGGGGTAAAGCTTGCACAAGGATGTTTTCTGCTGTTTCCCTGTTGCCTGCCTGCATGTTCCTGATCTGCCACATAGTGGAAACCTACAGAGTAGCCTTGTTATAACGTCACCAGTATACCTGGGGCAGGGGAGACTGTTTCCCTTGCTTTTTAGTTCCAGTTGTGTAGCAGTTGGTACTGGTTGATGCCTCTGCTTAGGGAGTATGCCTGCTTGCTTCCCAGTGGTAAAGAACCAGTTCAAAAGCTGAACCCGGAGTGTGTACAATTCAAAATGGACTAGTGCATACTTAAAGCAGGAGTGACATTTCATTGGAACACTTTCAGAAGTGTATACCTGCCAAGAAAGTAGGAAGCAAGTTTTCTGTGCCTCCAGTTGCATGAGTGACTTTCTCTATTTTGTGGAGTATATGGGTCTCATCTGTTGAGCTTGATGATACTCTTTCTGCACCAGAAAGCTATCCAAGTTTTGTTTGACCTGAACATTTCTACCTTTTGTGTTTATACCTACTGTTTTCTGATTATGTTAAATAATAAAAACACCACATAAATCTCACCGTAACTGAATCTCCAGACTCTACCAAACAAAAGTGCTTTCCATTTATCTGTAGGCCTTTAAAATTGTGCCATACAGCATAGAAGCCCTGGACAAACTATTGACTGAGTCACTCAAGAAGAACATTCCTGCCAGTGGTCTACACCTGTTTGGAATCAACCAGCTGGAAGAAGAAGATATGACAGCAAGTAAGTTTGAAGACTCTTGGTTTATTTTTAGATTTTCTTTGTGTCAGTTGTTTTACCTTGAAGCACCTTAATACTGCAGTGGGTGGTACCTGCACAGGCTGTCTCAAAAACCTTGGATCTCAGCCAGGAAGCTAAATTTTCATGTGATAATGTCTATAGAAAGGGGATTGCCATTTGAGTCAGGTGACCCTTTTTTTATTACATCTATCATTCTCACTTCCTTGCACTGTGGCAGATGCTGCTATACAGACAGCTTTAAACCAGAGTGAAAAGATGATGCTCCCCAAATGTCTCCCAGGTTTTCTGTGTTCTTCTTTTTCCTCATACCTTTTCTCCACAGCCTAGTCCTTTTCCCCAAACCCCATAACTCTAAGATACACACTGAGCAGTTGGGTTGGTATGCTGTCTTTTTGTAATGTTGGTCTAAGAAGTCCTCTCAAATCTGTGATCCTACATTATATTTAAGCTATTACAGTGCCATATTCCCCACTAAAGGTTATAGGACTTCAGCCTGGAGATGCACGAGATAATTTGTGCAGTTGGCTTGATTTCTAAACCATTTATATCCTTCCAGGGATTTCACAGCTGCTTTGGTCTGTGTGTTTGCTCTGTCTGGTTCTTGCCTGCTGGCTTTGTTGCTACTAGAGAAAAACTTAGCGTCTAATGGTCTTCTTTTCTCACAGATCAGAGGGATGAGGAATTGCCAACACTGCTTCACTTCTCTGCAAGATATGGGCTGAAGAACCTTACTGCCTTGCTGCTTACATGCCCTGGAGCACTGCAGGCCTACAGTGTAGCCAACAAGTATGGCCACTATCCAAACACCATAGCAGAAAAGCACGGCTTTAAGGACCTCCGCCAGTTCATTGATGAATATGTGGTAAGGGGAAGCTGAGCTGTCTTTCTGCCTCGTCCCACGCTGGGTGCAGGCTCTGGCACCAAGCTGGGCACTTAGTATTGCTTGAGCAGGAGTGATGGGTGATAAAGTCTGTTGTGGTAGGGTGTAGAACACAGACATCCAGCCACATTGAAAGCTTTCAGGCTGTAGGGTTAGGTGTGTCTCTGCAGCCATGGAAATTCCTGAGGCTTTTGCACAGAGCAAGTAAGATGGAAGCAGAGACTGCCATACTGGCTTCCATTCCTCCATCCATCTGATGAAGTTTCTGAGGATATGTGGTTAATGCCAAGTGCATTCTTCTAGTTCTGACCCTGGGAAAGAGCCCCTTCATCCAGCTTACTTTAGGGAGTAATATGGGAACAGAATATGTTTGGGAAGGTGCAATTTGAGGTGCTCTCTTATTAATTGTAGTGTGGGCAGGATTGCTTACTAGCTCATTCAGAGCTGATCTGTGTAGTCTGCCTGATACCCATTTCTCCCTGCATTGGTATATATTGGTCCGTTCCCTATTTGTTCTGTCAGGGATCCCAGTTGACAATTCATTTCTATTTGAGCTAACCCCACCCCCAGAAAATGCACTCTGACTTTTCCAGATTATGACATGGACCTGACTCCAGCTGCACCAAACAATTGTTTCTGTGCAGTGCTTGGGTACTCATAGAGTTTCTGCTTTTGTTTCAGTTTTAGCTGTTTCTGGCCTGTATACTTCAAAATAACAAGGAACTCCCTGACTCAGGTCGCATTGACCACATCTGAATTCTGTTTGCCTTTGCTTTAGGTTGAAAAGTTGTGTTTAATTGTCCTTAACATTGTCTGAGTGCTGGGAGATAGATCTGCCAGCTTTAGTATGGTTCTGCCAGTCAATTATTGTAGTGTTTAAGCCCTATTTAGGGAGGCATGGGTAGTTCTTGGACTTGAGCCTTGCTTCTTTATATTATACATTAGAGCTAAATAAAAGCCAATCCATATTCTGAGATCAGGAGGGCTGCAGAAACTGTAAATTGTGAGATCACAGTCTTCGCATCAGGGTAAGTGAGAGATGTGCAGGAAGTCCTTCCAACCTCTCATTGCAGTACTGTGCTCCTCCCATGTTCCCTCCACCAGCACAGTGACAGAGCTGTGTTAAGGGCAGGTCCTCCTTACTGACCTGCTGAAGCTGTCTGTGCAGCACAGTACAAAGCACACAAATCATCTATTTGCTAGTGTGGCTACTGCAAGGTAGTGACTACTGTCAGTAGAATGGATGTCTGAAAATCCCGTTAAACCCCATTACTCACCTAATTTTCTCTCTGGCAAAGGTTCCTCTGCACCTCTGTAAAGCATTGCATGAACTACTGGCCTGACACATTTTGTCTAGAGGGAAGCATGTATAGACACCTTTGACACACAGGCCCTGTGGACTGAGGGCCCATGAGTCTACATTTGTGAATGGAAGAATATCTTGTAGTATTGCAACTGTTAAGATGACAGTGCTTGTGACATAATTGGAATTTGGGAAGGAGGATGGAATGAAGCTTTACGTTTTGCTTCCTTGTGTTGTGATTTGGTGAAGCTCTGCCTTCCCCCCTGCTCTGTGTTGCAAATGCATAAGAAAGGATTCTGCTCTCCTGTGAATCAGAAGTTGCCTGTATTACATGAACTGCTGCCTGCTGTGAGGTTTCCTGTTAATGTCACAGAAGAGGGTCTGTGTACTCCCACTCTGGGTGTTACATGCTGCTGCTAATGCCAAGAAACTGAAACTGAATCTACATCAAAGCTAAAACTTTGCTGTTTTGCAGGTGCTCTGCATGTGATAAGCTTTCCCCCTTACCTTATGGTTAGCTATGCGTGCCCCAAAATAGCCTTTGACAGGCATTTGTATTTTTAGAATGAGCTGTGCTTATGTTCTGGGAGTTTGCACACATTGGGTAGGACATGAAAGTGGTGGGGTGAGAGGCTGTAATGGCTGCTCAGAACGTGTCAGCAGCCCTTGTTTCACCTTTTTTACCTATTAATACAGCATAGATCTCAAAAGTTTGACCCAGGCAGCTGTAGTGGGAATTTAAGTCACTTGAGAAGCCTTAATCTTTGGGAATGAGCTGTTTTCAGAGGTTTTTTTCTATCACTGATCACAAAGTGAGATATCTTTTGCTTGCTTTTATTCTCTAGATTATTTATTTAAAAGATACTTTAATTTTTTTTTCTTGCCCTCCTTCATCTCCAGGAAACTGCAGATATGCTAAAGAGTCACATTAAGGAAGAGCTGATGCAAGGCGAGGAGGATGAGTCTGTTTATGAGTCCATGGCTCATCTGTCCACTGATCTGTTAATGAAATGTTCATTGAATCCAGGCTCCGATGAAGAGCTTTATGAATCCATGGCTGGATTTGTCCCGGGTGCCCCAGAAGATCTTTGTATGTATATTCATAGAGTTACAGAATCATGGGAAGATTTGGGTTAGAAGGTACCTCTAAAGCTCACCTAGTGCAAGCCCTCTGCACTGGGCAGAGACATGTTGAGATCAGATTGCTCAGACCCATCTCTGACACACAGTAGTTCCTCAGTTACAGCTTTTCTGCTCTCATCACAAGGAAACTATGCAGCTGGCTGACAAAATTGCTCTATACCTTTTCTTGATTGATAGTCCACAAGATCAAGAACTGTTTCTTCAGTGTTTCAAGGACTCCCTGAACCCTGAGCAAATAAATTAACATATAGAAATGAGACTAAATATTCTACCATGTCCTGCTTTTTCTTCCCAAGGACTGGGTATCTAGGAACATTCTGACACTGGGGGAAAAGAACACTATGTCAGATGTGATTTTACTGACAACTGGGAAACTGAAAAACGAGCTGAGATTCCAGCTCAACAGCTTGAGAGCAAAAGAAATTAACATCTAGAAAAATGTGTGCTGAAAAGATTATAAATGAAAAATCATTATTCTAATCTGATTGGTTTATTGCTAAAAACAAAGAGATAAATATGCATATGTTTAATTTTTCACTATTGCATTAGTATTCAGTGAGGCCAATTGAAAATACCAAATTAAGTACCTCTGTTAAGCAATTGTAAATTGGCTGTTCTTATTCACCTGGCTGTTTGGTCTGACTTAATCCCACTGATCTATTATATGATTCCCATAATGAGCAAAGAATTTAGCTTCTTATATTTTAAGTACCTCCTTAAGGTACTTAAGGACATCTAGTGTTTCTGCAGTTTTTAAGTGTGCTGCCTCAAGGGAAAAGCTTTCTTTTTGAAACACTTGTGCTTATGGGCTATATTGGTCCTGGACTGTTTTTCTCCTCTTTTAGATTAAATTATACTGTAAAACGCATTTTTGTTGTTTATGAAGCCCAGAAGACTGTGTTGGTTCTTTCCTTGAAGTCATGAACTCTTTTCTGCTAGGTGTTGTTGGCCACTGCAGGGACAGTTTTGCTATCAAAACCGGGGTTATTCTGCCTTCAGGTAGAGATAAGCAGTAAATCAGGTTGGACTTGTAAGGAACAAAGCTGTTCTTGTTTGCAGTAATGAGAGTTTCTAGATGCTTGGTAGGTCTGCCTGTAATCAGTGCCCCTCTGAATGGAGTTGATTGACAAAGCCTGTGGAGGGTTAAAAAACAAGCTCAACACTACTAAGCCAAACTCCCCATCTTCCAGGCCTGAAATGCCCTGATCTCCCAGAAACTATGCATGGAATTTTCTTGCAAATTGAGCTCCCTGTAATTTAGCACATTTGAACTGGACTCTGAAAAGCCTCTCTTTCCTGCTTCTTCTGGAGTTCTAGTGTGTTGCTTCTGCACACAAAGCTCTGCTGTCTTCCAATCAGGAGTCTTTTATTTAAATTATGTTTTCCTTACCTGGTCTGTTAGTCTTTGCCTGAAGAATATTAACAGCTTGTCTGGACAGTGCTTAAAATATACCTGTATCATAACAGATAAGTTTAAATTGGCACAGTTCTCAGCACTTAGATTGAATCTCTCAAAGTGAAAGTGTTTCGATATCATTTAGAATACCAGCACACAGCAAGCCCTCACCTAAATGAATGTGAGAGCTGGCTGGTTTAGAGCTGCCATCACAAATAAAGGATTTAAGCTTTTGTACTGACTTGAAGGTTTGTGAGGATGGCTTTCTAGGGAATCATAACTAACTTCTCTTGAAGTACTTTTTCTAGGAATTACCTGTATGTGAGTTGATATGGCTCTGGTGTACAGGATAATACCTGGGCTATTTTAGGAGTAGCCATACTGTGGCAGTGTGCCCCTTTATTGTGATCAAGATGTGCTTCCACCACAGTTTTTCAGAGACTGATCAAAGGAAGATTAGATATCACCGGGTCAATTTTTCTTGGTAGGAACTTGTTTGAGAATAAGGTAACAGAGGACTGAAGCCATTGTAATAAGTTAGAAGTATTTAATATTCTCACATGTAACCCAAACTATCTCATTTACATAGTAGTAGATCTATGACATAGAAATAGATATACCTCAAAAATTCACTTATATCAATAAGCCTCATCAATCCAATTATATCACTCTTGTTTTTAATATCATTAGGAACATGGTTACCTAACATTTTATTTTAGTTTTAAGATTAGTATTAGTGTTATGATGAGGTTCACCTTTTTCTTTAAAATTTCAGGATTCTTTATGTCAAAACACTGAATTAACAAAGTATGTTATTGTTTGCTGTCAGTCCTTCCTCAATACTGAATTATCATCTGACCCTGTAAACGCTTTCCAGATTCAAGTAATTAACTCAGACAACTGTTTTGACTTTATTCCAATAAATAAACACTATCTTATGTATCATGGAAAAATTGCCTTTAATGTCTTGCTTTTCCAAGCCACATTGTTTCCTCTCTGGGGCACTGTCCAGAGGTCAAAACTTTCACCTGGCCAACACATGCTCAAGAATAGCCAAAACTCAATGCCTTCTTGAAGCCTTGTCAGAGCTTCTCAACAGCACTCTTAGTCACCCTCAAGTGTAAGCATCAGGCAGCTGAAAAAAATTTGTGCAGAGTGGACTGAACATAGCAACTTAGAAGCTTTTTTCAAGGAAAATGTCTGGTCACTTGCCCAGCTTCTTTGATTGTCACCATAAAGTAAAGGTCCAGTTTGTTATGTCATATTACATTGTTCCATGTATTGAAGGATATAATTAACAGGTTCATCTTTCTGGGTTGGTTTGGTTTTTTTCAGATGTAGAGATGCTTCAATCCAAACCAGACACTCCAGCTGCTGGAGATGAAGTTTCTATAACTACAAAAGACTCAATGCTCCGCAAGTTTTTAGAAGGTGAGACCTATTTTGAGGGAAGGATGGCAGTAGCGCAGTTAAAGTAATTAAACAGAACCTGAGAGTTTTTCATGAACTCTTAAGGATAAAAGATAGCCCACACAGTTTGCTTTTTTCAGACAAAGGACTTATTCTCTATAGTACTTTGTAGACCATCACACATAGCTTTTGGAAATCATTGGTCTGTTTGATTTGTTCATTATTCAAGTATGTTAATTAAACTAATTGTTCCTCAAATTCTTAAAGAGTTAGGAGATTTTTCACTATTTCTTTAAAACAGATGGTACAGGCATAGTGGCAAACACATGCTACTAGATACTAATGACTTTATCAAGTCCTCTCATGAAGGTCTTTGCTACATTTAAGGCACTGCAAAACTGGATGGTTTTGGCTGTGAAATTGGTAAGAATGCATCTGGAGGGAACCAGTGTTCAGTGAAGTGGCCAGGTTGCTATTCTTACAAACTCTGTCTGTTGTAGGTGGTAGCATGGATGTGCCAGATTCTGAGGAAGGAGGTCGAGAGCAGTATGGTGAAGACGTGTACTACTCAGTGGAACAAGACCCTTTTCCACAAGAAATGGCTAACAGACCTCCAGTTCCTGTTCCAAGACCAGAATCTAGCTCTCCACAGCCAGACAATGAGCTGTACATCTCCAAAAGTGAGTTGGTTACCACTGGAAATGTAGACCACTAAAGTGTAGAATGGCATTGTCATGGGTTTCAGTTGCCAAATAAATGCCAGGATCCCTGGATTATTTGACTCTGGAGTTTAGGTTACCTTTGGAATCCAATTCCATATCTCTTTTCATCTTTTGCCTACTCTGAAAATGTGGGGATGTTATATCCCAAGATCTTGGCCTAAGCTTGCTCTTCATGGAAGCAGTAGAATGACAGATTACCCTCAAATGGTATAAACAAATCCAACTAAGTAGAAAATATCCTGATATTATAAGGACACAATCAAACTAATAAATTGAGACATTGCTGATCTGTAATGCTATCATTGTTTCAACTGCATTTGCATAGGACATGATTTTATACCTTAGCACCTCCCTCTGAGGTAGGGTTTTATTGAAATTGAAGAAGATTGTTCCTCCTAGTTCATTAGGCAGCTTTGGAAATCTTGGTCATGTATCATGACGTTCTAACAAGAACCACAATGACATGTGAGAGAGTAATTTCAGTGACTTCTTCCCACTGTGGCAGGACTATGGAGAAATCATGTCCAGATTTCTCTTAGAGGTGGCTGAGCTAGATTCTTTGAGGTCAATAGAAAGGGAGTTCTCCCATAAAAATCTTTTTCTTCAGTGGACTTAGAAGGGTAACAGAAGCTGTAATGCAGTGCAGAATTGTGTATGCTTGCCATATTCATTCTTGATGTTTCTGTCTTCATGAGATGCATTTCAATATCTAAAGAATGTTTGTTTTGCAGTTTTTGCACAGAAGGCTCAAAGACCTGAGAATCTTTATGTCCCTAGAGGAAGAATTAAGAAAGGTAAGGCAGAAGTTCACCCTGAAAATCCTTTCAGTAATCCCAAAGGAGATCTGTTATGGTAGCTTCACGTGTGTGAATTATGACAGAATAGACTGTTTTGCAAAGCTCTGGGAATAACAGTCTTCTATGAACGACCCAATCTTTTTGACCATTTGTGACACTGGAAACTTTTATAAGTGCAGAGTGTGAGGGGAGCATGCCTTATGTCTTGGGAACTCTTCTTTGTTACAAATGAGTTAGAAATCACCAGCATCAATAGAATGAGTTTTCACTTTCTGGGCTTAAGCTACACAGATTATCTAGATAGAATCTAGCTTTGTGACTGCTAAGGTAAAAGCTCTGTTCTGTGAATTGCTGAGGAAGCAGGGCACTTTAAGGAATGTGTTTTGTGCTCTTTACTTAGTTTGTTTTTAAAAGTAGAGCTTATCCCTGGGATATATTTGTGTACGATGCTGTCTCTCAGCTGGGCTTTTAGACCTGGCAAATAGTAGGATGGCCTAAGAAGAAAACACTTCTTAAGAAACACCCAGTCTGTAATACATTTTTTCCCCTTTTTTTCTTTTTTTTTTTTTATGTCTGCTGGATCAAGGGTACTTGATATCTTTGTATTCAGTGAGGAAGGTAGATCCACAAGTTTAATAATATTTTTGCTGGTGTTTTCTCTTCAGAGACAATAGTCAGGCCTGTAAGGGACCTGTCTCAATCAAGTATATATGATCCATTTGCTGGAATGAAAACCCCAGGTCAGCGGCAGCTGATTACATTACAGGAGCAAGTGAAGATGGGCATCCTCACTGTGGATGAAGCTGTACTTCACTTTAAGGAGTGGCAACTGAACCAGAAAAAGAGATCAGAATCATTCCGGTTCCAGCAGGTACAGACTTATGCTACTGTTTAAGAAATACAGCTGTCTCTCTAGGTATATATCACAAGCTTCTCAGCATGGGTACATTTTCTCCCTGGTTGGAGCAGGAAGACTGCTAACATAGTCCCCCAGCTAGCAGAGTTCTCTCCTGCCATGGGGAAGCTGTTCCCAGTAAGCAGCAAGCAGTTTTACAGATCTGTTTGTCTTGCTGTAACATTGTCAGTTTTTGAAGATCTGTATACAAGGAATTGGATCAAATCCAGTTGGCTAAATTACCTTTCCAGAGGTCACCTAGCACCTACCTGCTGGCAGGGGACTTCTGTGATGAACATTTAACTTGTTGGCTCTCATCCATTTCAGATGAAGTGGAGACTGTGTCCCAGATGATGTATTGGCTGTAAAGCCCTAGTTGGTAGATGATCTGATTTCTTCAACTGTTTGTTGATGGCTACAGGACTGTTCTTTGCAGCTGGGCAAGGTCTAGCAATGGTCATTAGTAAAAGCAGGGTGTTTGGGTGCCTTAACAGAAAGAGGGAGTCAGTTGGCAGCAGTGACATAATGACTGGTGGAACTATCAGTTATAGTTTAAAATTTTAATTCTCAAGTTAGAGTTTGACTCCCTCCCTCTTTAAAACCAGTGCCTGCTTCTTTTGGAGCCTTTTGTTCATTTATGGCAGTCTAGTCTCCAGTGGGTGACATTGTTTTGGAAGTTGTCAGAACAAAGGCAAAGCTCTTCTCCTCCCGATTCTCACTTGGAAAGGTCCTCTCTACCCAGAAACAGTCAGAGGAGTCCCTTCTTTACCAGAGAAGAACACAGTGCTACTGAAGTAAATTGATGTACAAGAGATGAAGTGGCATGCTCTGTGCCCCATGCCATGAGCAACTTCCAAAGTCTCTGCTCTGAATTTTGCTTCATGGTACAGGAGTTACTTCCTCTGCTTTTCAGGGGTTTCCTTCTCTCAGATGTGTACATATTTCCCTGCTGAAAAAAAAAAATATATTTTTTCTCCCTACCTTTTTGTAATGTAAAGTGTAATAAGCTGCCACACAATAGTGAAGAGTCTTTGCTCCCATTTACATTTCTTCATTGGGGATATCCTGAATTCTGAGTTGTACCTTGATGCATGGCAGTCTTTTCTGACCCTGCAGTCAGAATAATCTTTTCATTAGTACAGAAAGGACAGTGCAGTTACTTGGTTGTGGGTCTTGTTTCTGTGCCAGTGTCACAGTGCAAACAGAAAATACAGGGAGTTCTAAACCCAATTTGCTGCTTATGTGCAACTGGCCAAAGGTGAACTTGACCTTAACATACATAATGAACATCAGAAAAAAACTTGGCTTCTGAAAGGCACACATGGGTTTCTGAAAGGAACAGATGAAAACCTGTTGACATGGTTTGGACTTCAGCCAGGTACAGCAAGCTTTGTTACAGCTTGACTGCAAAGCAAGTTAGCTAAAATATGATGACTTCATATATATAAACTTTGGCAGAGTTAGCTAAAATATAATACTTGTTTTGTCAGAAAGCTGCTCATCTTTCTTTATCCAAAGCTCTGAAAAGAATATCTTGTGATGTTTTTAGGAAAATCTGAAACGTCTACGAGACAGCATAACCAGGAGGCAAATGGAGAAGCAAAAAAAAGACAAAAGTGCAGGTAACAGTCTTTGATTCTGATTCTCTGCTACTGAAGCAACTAATCATATTAACAAGCCCTTCAAGCAGATATGTGTCCATGTGTATTGTGGTTCTGTGATATTTTAATATGCACATCCATGTGCCAGTTGGCAAAAACTTAGGGAAGCTGCTTTGCTCCTCAGTTGCACAGCCAAGAAAAGGATGCCCCCATCTGTGGAGTGCATCTTGACTCATCCATGTACAGTTTTGATTGTCCTTATGCAATTGTGTTTAACTCTGTCCTTAAGTGCAAAACTGTCTCTTGGAGGCTGTAATTGCATAGACCTTTCTGAACCTTTCATTTTTCCCTTCCAGATTTGGAAATTACAGTACCCATTCGACATTCTCATAATACTTTGGGGAAACTAGAATGTGGAATATATGAATACACGCCCAGGAAAAACCTTTTTCCACCAAAAAAGGAGATAAAACGAGGAGACTGGAAAACAGAAAGCACATCCAGCACAACAAGTAAGCAGCCTCTGAGCGTCACTGTCCCTACAGGATGGAACACATTTCCAAAGCATTACCCTGGAGTCGACCCAGGGGACAGGACTTCTGCTCCTGAATCCCAGCACTGACAATGCCACCCCAAACCTTGCATGCCTCAGGCCAGCTGTTCTCAAAACTGTAAAAGCAATTACAGGTGTGCATCAAATGGTTTGGGCATCTTTTGTCTACATCTCTGCAGGAGGAGAACCTAAAAGCTGAGCAAAAGATTCTCCTGAGCCCCTCTCAGGGAAGGCATACCACCTGTTTTCAGTTCTTAAAAGTAGATGGCAGCTGCTCCCTTATTGGAAAGGATGCTCCCATGCTGTGACTGCCAGCAGGCTGTGTGCTCTTCTGGCCTGTGTGGCTGGAAACCAGTCTTACAGGTTGTTTCTTCAATTGTTTTACATAAAGAACAGCATTTTTCATTGGTAACTGTAGGACCTCTTGAGTGACTGCACATTATTATCTTTGCTTTTCATTATGTTTAATTTGTGCAAATTAAATCCCTGCATTCTTGCTCTTACTGCAGACTGAGCAATTCTTGCAGAAATCATTTAGGATCAATTGGGTCCTTTGAAAGGAAACCTGACTTCCTGTGAGGTTGCCACTTTTGTGACTCTTGGCAAGATGCAGCTGGCATGCATCCAGAACAGGTGCCAGAGGCAGCTGGCTGAGCCCATAACTTGCATGCAAGCACACGTGAGAGAGGTGTTAACAGGTCTGCGGAGCTCCCTGTGTGCAGCCTGGTGCTCTTTCTCACGGTATGATGCTGAGAATGGACCCTAGCACAGTATTTAGCACTCTTAAGTGCTGCTGCTTGTACCAGCTGATGAGCCTTACCAAAGCTATCAGGGAGGGACTGCATCTTAGCAGAAAACCTCTCTAGCCACCATTTCTGTGGACAGGTTTCTGAATATTAGTGTCCCAGTATTTCACAGCCCTGTAGAATGTTATCTGTTTATTACTGAAACCAGCCATAGCCGTGTGGGATATGTTTGTGAGTTGCTGTCACCTTTGGAATTGGCATGACTGGTTGCAAAAACAATCCCTACTCTGACTCCATGACAGTTTAATGGGTTTGCATAGATGGGTGCTGAAGGTTGTTTGAACAAGCTTGGTTTTAGCTTGGAAATAGACTAGGAAGCATTCCTGTGTTAATTGAGGATTGTTGTAAGAGGGGGTAGTATTTATTTAGAACAGTAACTTCTTAAGGAGTCACTCCAGGAATGAATATGTTACAGTGCTCTATCTTCGTGCAATTGTTACAGATATGGGTACTGATAATTTAAATGTGCATAAGTGTTGGGTGTGTAACCCTTGTGGAAATATTTGCCTGACTTTCAAGATGACATTGGCATTGGATCTTTTCATATTATATGATAGAGATAAAGAATAGATTGTGGTTGTGAGTATTTAACCAGAAGACTGGATAAAGAAAGATAAGGCAGAAATCTTTTTGAAAGAAAGCATAATTGAATGGCTTGGTCCTGTGGTTTGTGTTGTATGAAATGCTGTTATTTGGATCCCAAATATATGAAAAAAAAAACCCAGTGAAAATAAATGAATCTAAAAGAGCATTAGTTATATTTGAAAGAATTAAGCATGAGGTTAGAAAGAGTCCTGAGTTAGGGATTTGCAGTTAAATCCCTGGCATTTAATCAGTTAATTAATCAGTTTTTCTGGTTTTATGAATCAGTTTTATTAATCAGTTTTTCTCTTGCTTCCTCCAGGTAGTGCAAGTAACCGCTCCAGCACTCGGAGTATCTTGAGTGTCAGCAGTGGGATGGAAGGGGACAGTGAGGTAAGCTCTCACCTCTGCTATGTACTGCTCTGCTGTCCTTAAGTACATGTCTTAGTTTACACGCAGAAAAAAGAGCTCAGAGCTGACATTGCATTTAGAGAAATGCCAAAATTTAGCCTTTTCTTTTGTGAGTATACCAAGAACCAGATTCTGCTGTTCTATAAACACTTCTTTGTTTTGTAGGACAGCGAAGTCCCAGAAACAGCAAGGAGCCGTAGCCCAATTCATCACCAAGTAGAGAGGCTTCCTTTCCCAGAAAGGCCTCCCAGAGTGCCTCCTCGAGGTGCAAGCAGGTAAAACTAAAATGTAGCTCAAAATATGTGCTTTCAGAGAATCCTCATGGAAGCCTTGGACAGAAAGCAAGGCAGTTAGCAAAGGCAGAAAGTGAGTGTGTTTTTGAACAAAGTCTACCAGATCTGTCAGCACACACTGTTAGGAATTGTAAGGTCATTGCTTCTCCTCTGTATGTGCAGGAATATGTTTCCTAGTTGGTAAAAAGGCTATTGCAGTGCTGTCGCTGTGGTTCACGCACAGTGAGGGACAGCACTAGTGAAGCATGCAACGCTTACCCTAGTAATACTGACCCTGGTGGAGTTACATCCTGCCCTTGGCAGAGATTTAGTACCTGACCCTCCTGAAAATCTCCTCTTGGAACATACGAAGTGTAGTGCAGGGGGAAGTTCTTTTTGGCATTCTCTTGGACTTTTTTTTTTTTACCAAGTTCAGATCTCTCCAAAGCATATATGTTTACATGTGTTACTGGCCTCAAAGAAAGAAATGCACTGGTTTTATAAAAGGTGTTGAGGAGATTGGATAATAAACTTAAATCATTTGTAAACATTCCTTTAGTCCAACCAGTGCAAGTCTGTGAAGTCTATTCCCCAAAAGTTCTCTCAGTACAAATACTAACAAAATTCTCCAACTCTTGAAGCGGTAATTGCCACTGTGTGGGTGCACCAAGGTCTGTGTTGTTGGCTTGGTTTTGGCAAGGAAATAGCTGAAATTTATCTGCAGTTAGTTTGAAAAAAGGTTTTGAATCTTTTGATCTCTTCCTACTGCATCTTGATTTCAGGAGAAAGCTACCATACTTCAAAGTTCTACTCCAACTATTACAGTATCTCTTTCCAGTAATAGTAGAATTACTGCAACTGAAGAACAGAATAAATAGCTTGGACAGGAACAGTGCTCTGGCAACTTGGCATCTGCTCTGTTGCTCAATCAGCCTATTTTTCTTCTTGTATGACTACTGATTGTACAGTATGCTTACATATTATGTTATTGCATGCAATGTGTTGTTCCAGAACTCTATTTTCTACTACTTTAACATACATTTTCATGATCTTTTTTTTTTTTTTCTATCTTTTTATAGGCCTGTAAGCTGTGAAGGCTTTTATCCTCCACCTGTGCCTCCAAGAGGTCGCTGAATCTCTCAACATCTGTGGAATACAAGATTTTTTTGTTGTTTATATATGTGTTTGTACAGAAATTTTTTTTGGGCTGAGTTAAATTATTTATAAGTGAGACCCAAATGATTTCATCCCCTTCATCCTCCCCGAAGCTCTGGTGATTTTCCCCATGATTTTTACTGAGATTTTTTGATGTTCTATAACATTTTTTTTAGTTGGAAGAATTTTGGTGCTTTGGGGCTTCAAGGAAAGGTATCATCATTGGGAAAAACATTGATGTGTGTCTTGGGAGCCCTGCACCAACATGAAGATCCCATTTGATCAAGAAAGCACATGTGTCCTTTTAGGAACTAAATCCTGATAAGCATTGTTACCAAACCTCTCAATACAGTCTAGCAAGGCTTGACTGAAAAACATGCTTAAAATGTAAAGAAAATAAGATGTTTGAAAAATGCTCATTACAGCAGGAGCAGGTGAATGTACTACTGCTTGGCATAACATTTTGGATACAATTATACTGACCTTTCAGATGGTGTAGCATCCCCCTTTAGCAATCATTAAACCATGGGGGGATGAGAAATTGTCTTCGAGAATGTATTTTGCATGCATCCTTGAAAATGCCTTTCCTTTTCCTGTTTGCTTCCTGAAGAGGACAGGCGAGGTGTTGTGTGTGCTGTATTTACCATGAAAATTCCCAAGACAGCTGGTAAGGGACCTTCTGTATCACAAACCAACTGTACTTAAACCTTTTTCAGGCAAGGTGCAGGTGTGGTGTTACAACATCACATGACTGAGCTCTCAAATTAGAGAAGGAATTGGTGGCAGTGCTGTGTTCTCTGTCTCTGACATGTAGTCACTGTGCAGCAATATGAAGGCATTTCACTTCATACTCCGCAACAGTAGTGAGTCTCCAATTCTCAGTGCATGCCCCTCACAAATACCAGCTGTATTTTAGCTGGCTGCAGTGGAAACAGACAACCTGGGGGCTGGACTCTGCTTGCTCTACCAGTGTGAATCTGCAGCAGCTGTGTCCAGCCTTTTTTCTGCCTGGGGGCTTACAAACTTGAGACTTCCTGGTTTGGCTCTCTTCCAGACATTGAAATCTTCTGTGCATATCCCAACCCTTGGGGGACAGTTTATGGCTCTGGTTGTCCATGAGTGACACAGATGGGAATCTGCAAGATAACATTCAGGGTAGGGATTAAACATCATTACATACTTGGTTTTCAGGGATGAAAGAGGGAGAAACAGACAGATACATCTGTACTAGCTGATCCCTCAGGTATGGGTAGGACAAGTAGAGCTTCTGTCCGATCATGTCAGCTCCCCTTCATCTGTAGGAGGGCAGGTGACACAGAGTTGCAGTTCCTTACTCTTACAGAGTGGCAAACCCAGTGTGTGAAGCTGCAGAAGTGACAGCAACTGTGACTTGACCAGCACTGAATGAAGGTGAAGAAGCCCCTGCTGCTTTCAGGCATATAGGCATACGCTAAATATCATCTATGCATAGATGCACAGGATTTGGGTGACTCCAAATGCAGTTCATAAACTCTCTCCTTTTAATGGCAGAGTGATGCAAGTGTTGTGCTGCATATACAGCACAACACATACAGAGGTGTCCTTTCTGTTTTTTTATTATTTTATTTTTTAAAGAAACCTCAGTGCTGTCTCCAGTAACTGCCACTATAGACTCTCAGTGAGTTCGCTCTTGTTCACTGTAGCCAGGGGAATGGTGAGGTGAGAGCTGCCTTCCTGTGCTCTTGGAATGAAACAAGGTTTCCAGCTCTATTAGCTCAAATTGGAAGGAGGGAAGGAGGTTTTGGTGCTGAAATGAAGAAAATAGTAGCAAGGATAAGTGAAGAAATGCTGGTGGGGCTCTGGGTGAGACCTCTCCCAAAAGGGGAGCTGAGCCCTGCTATAAATGCATTCTGTTCAGGCCCCTTCTGCACTCCTTAAGGGAGGGAAACTGAAGATGCAGCTGTAGTTTCAGGCATTCCTGTCTCACTGCTGCTGGATTGGTGAGGGATCTCAGTAACCAACAATCACTGCAAGACTCTCACCCTATTGAGGAAAAAAGGAACAGCACTAAGATGGTTTTACTGTTGGATGCAGGTAAACAGTTGGATGCAGTCAAATCTTTCAAGCCTCTTACAGGCCAACAGTGATGCACCTGCTTAGCTACCAATGTGTGTGTTCCACATAGGTTGGATTCATCTAATTGCTTTCAGCCTCTTACATTTCAATGCATGCAGCCCCTGCATCTGTATTTTGTGCTGGTGAGCATGTGTTGTGTGTTGCTTCCACCCAGGATGAGAAATGCACTGAAACTGGAGATCAGAGAAGAAAACAAGGGGAAATATGAACAGTGTTTCTGATGCATATTAGAGTCCAAGGACTGAACAGATAATACAATTGCTTGTAAAAACTTAAGTGGCCTGGCCAAATTGTAGGGGCATCAACCAATCCACCAAACTCAGGTGCCAGCTGGCAGGCTTGGGGAGTGTGTTTGTTCTTTGTACAGCATGCCTTGCAAACCCTGCTGCAGCAGATGGCTCTGGTTGGCCCTGGTGCTGACTGTGAGACTTAAGTACTGAATAAACTGAAGAGCTGAAGCCTCCCCTCTGTCTCCCAAGGGTAAGCTACTCTATTTTGGACTGAGATGCAATGACTAGAAAGAAACATATGGTGTTATCAAAACTGTCTAGGTTTTCTGGTTTTTTTTAGTCTGTATGTGTGTGTGTAATGCAAGCATGGGTTTTGGCAAGTATCTCTACAAGGACCTCACTTCTACTGAAACAGTGCATGCACTATCTCCTGAATCTCTGGAAAAGGCTTCAGATAAATATATCTTGTGAAATACATTCAGGGAAGGTAGACTGAATGTGTGAAACCACAAGAGGAAAAGCATTTAGCAGAGGTATGATGGTAACGGAAATTGGTTTTCTGCATCATTTCTACAAAGCATGGATGACATGTGACAGCACAGAGTTCCTGCCTTCTGCTCATGTAATTTGTTGTCTGTCTGCTTATTTGTTGGTTCTCTTTATTTGAGAAGATGGTATAGCCCCCCCACCTCTTTTTAAAGAATATATGATAACTTCTGAAATTTTTTACTGTGTTTAATTTTCAAGTTGTCTGATGAATCAATGTTAAAGACCATGAGGTTTTTGCATTGAAGGCTTTGTTTGGTTTGGTTTTTCTGACTGTGGACTTGTAGTTTGAGGTAGGTCCAAGTTTGGAGGCAGGTTTGTGGGCTTCGTCCTAGCCAGCGCTGACAGAACCCTTACCCTGAACCAAGTCCAGGTGTGGCTGTGCTGCCTCAGTGCCTGCCCCGGGCCCCTGCGGCTCCGTGTGCTGCTGCTGCTGCTTGTACAGGGGTGTAGAGAACAGGCCCCTGTGAGATTCTGTCTATTTCACAGAATCACAGAACTGAGGAGCTTGGAAAAGAGCTCTGAGAACGCCGAGTCCAACCTCGGCCTGGACATCACCGTATCAACTTGACCCTGTCCGGTCTTTCTTAAACACCTCCAGGGCCAGGTGCCTCCACAATCTCCTTGGGCGCCCCTTCCAGTGTGTGATCAGCCATTCCGTGAAGAAATTCCGCCTGGTGTCCAAGCTTGGGCCCCTTTCCTCTTGTCCTGTCATTGGTTCCCCGGGAGCAGAGCGACCCCCGCCTCGCCGGAGCCTCCTTTCAGGCAGCTGTACAGAGCGATAAGGGTCCCCTCAGCCTCCTCCTCTCCAGGCTCAAAAACCGCAGCTCCCTCAGCTGCTGCTCCCAGACTCGTGCTCCGGAGGGTGCTTGTACGCAGCCCTGCGTCCCGCCCTTCCCAAAGACCTTCCGCTTTATCGACCAAAACGAAACATCGATTACAATTCCATCCCGTAAGAACGGCGCTGCCGTGCGCTCCCGCTGCCCGCGCTGTGTCCCGGCCCCGCGGGGCGCGGCCGCTCTGTGCCCGCGCTCCCGCCCGGCCCCGCCCGCCCCGCGGGGCTCCCGTAGCGCCCCCGCGGTTCCGGCGGCCGGGCGGGTGACGTGGCGGGCGGGGCGGAAGTGGCGTCGGCGGCGGGCGCGGGCCGGTGCCGCGGCGGGGCCTGCTGGGGACGCCGAGGCCCGAGATGGCGGCGCCCGGGCTGCTCCTGCTGCTCCTGCCGCTCCTGCCGCTGCGCGCCCGCGCCGACGAGCACGAGCACACGGTGAGGCGGCGCCCGGCTTCCCCGGGAGCGGCGCTTGCGCGCTCGCTCGGGCTGTTCCGCTCGGGAGTCGGGCCCCGCGGTCCGGTTCGGCGCTCGGGGGACGCCGGGGCGCTCGGGGCAGGGCCGCCGCGTTCTCTGATCCGGTTTGCACATCCTTGTGCGGCCGGGCGGGGTGTCCCACCTTTTCCTGGAGCAGATAAACGGCCCGGCAGGTAACGCGTGCTTTGTTTGGAGAGCGCTGTTTGCTCTGCCCTCCTCTCGGGAGGATGTTTGCTCTGGCTTCGGAGCACAAGTCCGAGCCGAGCGCGGCTGTGACAGCCCTGCGGGACAGGGGCTGACAGCTCCCCGCGGGAAGGGGCTGCGGAGTGGGAGCAGGACGGGGACACTGCCACGGACCCGCAAGAAAAATGGGTGTAGGAAATACTACTGATCGGAGAGCTCACGCATTGGCGTGAGAATAGTTTTTCTGAAGTGCTCGCAATATTACCCAAAAAGAATTTCTAGGAAAAAAATGCCAGTGCTTCATCAGTTTCTGATTTTACATCAGAGCGTTGTTTCCCGTGGCTTTCACTGTGCGAAAGTGGAAGTTTGTGTGATAAGCTGAGATGTGATTTTGGAACGAGACTTTCCTAGAAACCGTCTCTGTTTGCTGCAAGTGGAATGTATTAATACGTGGCTGTGATTAAACACTGGGTCTTTCTGACTGTCAGGACTTTCTTCCTCTTGAGCAGCCTGGCTGGTGAACACTTGCTGAGTTTCTTAACATAGTTTTCTCAAGGTGAGGCATGGTAAAGCTTACCAAGTGTTCTTAATAAAACAGATAAATAGTATTGATAGCTTTTGGGTAATTAACCTTATTCCATTTATTTTTGAGGACTTTAAATCTGATTAGGATTGTGTTCATTTTTTGAAAGGGAAAGCATTTTATTGGTTCTGCAGTTAATGACAGAAAAGTTAATCTAATATTCAGTACTTTCAAGGAACAGATATTCTTTGAACTAGATAAGGTGCCAGCTTTGTTGCTGAACCTATGCTTTACAGTGAGGCTTCTGCTGAGGTGAGATGGTTTTCAGCATAGCGCTGTGTTTATTTTAAGGGTTGGTTAACTTGAGGGATTATTCATTATTAAATTAATATTGGTAATCTTCTAGGGAAAAAAAAAATAAACCTGTCACTGAATTGATTTGGGTTTGAGCTTTCCCTTCAAAAGTGGTTTCTGATGTTTGTAGCTATTTTGATGACTACCTAATGATTACCTAAACAATTACCCATGGAAATCACAAATTCCTTTTGAAGGCTTGTCATTTTTTTCATCTAAACTACTCAAATCTGAGGGATTGTAAGTCTATTTTGGTTTAGTATTCTTGTTCACATAGATTATTAACTGGATAGGTTATGTGATAGGTTAGGAATAGTTGGTGTAGAAAGACAGTTACCTTTTTTTGGAAGGCTGTCTCCTTGCTTGGGTATTTTGATATTTTAATCTTGTGTGAGAGCTTGGAGTGGAAGCATTAATAGCATGAATGAAGCATGACCAGGGTTTTGTACTAGTGTACTGATGTTAAGATAACCTGAAGAAAATATTCCTTAAATACTGCATTTTAGTGAATTTCAGTTTTAAATATGATTTCAGCTGGGAGATTAATTTTCTTATATTCAAAGTGCTTTGAATATAAGAAGGCTCTGCTCACTTTTGGAGAAGTGGAAGGGAAGTTTAGGATTTGGTGATCTCAGACTAAATTTTCACTGACTTTAAGACTCGAAAACTCTTGGTAGGAATACACATCCTTATCCTTATCCTTCCATTTCCTTGGTGTGCAGGTCCCTGGGGGAAGGTGTGCTGGTGCATCCTGACACAGCTGAACAGGGTGTTGTCACTGCTCAGCATGTTGGACATACAGAAGTGCTGCATTAGGCTTTTAATGCTGCTATAACATGGAATAGTATGCAGTGTGTGCTGTAATATGTATTACACCTGTCCTTTATTTTATGATTGTGGACTTCTAAGCAAACACTGTAAGAGGTAATTGTGAGAGGACTCTGCACGAAGCTCTAGGTCTCAGCTATTGTTTCTGGAGATATTAGGTATGGATAGTGTCAGTGAATCAACAACTTATATCCTTTATCTTAAATTTGAATTGCACTTTAAAAATCACATCTGCCTTTCTTTGGAGAAAGAACAGTGTAAATACAATAAGATAAAGACGTGGGTATTCAAAATGAATAGTAAGTGAAGAGAAATTTTTGCCACAGTATGTAAAATCTCCGTTGTCGAAGAACAGTGTAAATACAATTGTAAGATAAAGACATGGGTATTCAAAATGAATAGTAAGTGAAGAGAAATTTTTGCCACAGTATGTAAAATCTCCATTGTCTAAAGACAGTACAGCAGCATAACTTCAGACCATGACAGAACAGTTTATCAGGAACTAACTGAAAACTTGTCTGGTGATTCTTTAACTTATTTTCATGCTTCAGAGCATGTAATATACTTGCTCGTTGCCTATATTATAAAAATTGCAACATTTTTTGACAGTTGTCCTTTTATTTGTGGAAGTGATGGTATCAATGGGGCGCGGGTGGCCTTATCACAATGTGTACTGATCCTGCAGAAACAGGATTGGGGGGCTCCTGCCTGGCCTTTGCTTTCACATCTTCTGTTGCTAGACTTGTTGGAATTGATGATGTAATAGACAAACCATAAAACATTCTGAAATATCCTGTGGTTTTTGTTACGGGAGAATGCTCTAGAGAGTAGGTAGCATTTTAATTTTAATGTTGCTTCAGTTTAGTTGTCTGTGCTCTGTAAGAATAGATATACATTAAAAACATTGAAAAGTAAACAAAACCCAGCCTATATTGTATAGCAAAATTCCTAATTTAAAATGGTTGAGAAAAGCGGTTTTGCTTGACTTATACACCGATCAAATATGTTAAAACCCTGAGCATGTAAGGCTTATTTAAAATTAGTATGTAAAATTAGGAACTTCGTATAGTATCTGAAAATTGTCAGTTAGAGAAACACCGTGGAAAACATTTCAGTTCATGTAAAATACTTATTTGCATGTAAAGTTGTGCGCAGATGAGCGGCCTGATTCCTCTTTGAAGTTGTGTTTCCATTTTGAAGAGGTGAAATAAATGTCATGGAAGCAGGACGTGGTGTGCCTGAGCAATCTCGTGCATCTAGGAAGTGTAAAAGTAAAAGTACTGCATGTACAGAAGTTCAGCCTGTGCCACTGGTACAGTTCTAGACACATCTTGATGAGGCCTGAAATTCAGCGAGAAATAAAGAAATGTTACTGGAAATAGCCTGCTTTGTCCAAAGGCAAGCATGAGGCTGAAATACACAGTTTAATAGGGTGGATTTAATATGGATGTGAGCTGCAAACATTGAGTATTATCACAGTGCTCCATAGATGGAATATCTGTAAGATGCCGAGGACTGCAAGCCTGGGATATTATTTGCCAGGTGAGTCTTGCTTGCTGCCTCCTGTATTTCTTCTCTTGCTTCTACATCTTTGCTTTGCCAGTAACAAATAATGTTGTTCTTTTTTCCCCCTGAAAAATGTGCATTGTGGAGCATGTCATTCCAGACTTCACTGCGAGGACAGGAGTAAAATTGCATATTTTCTGAAAGAAACTGTCTTGATTGGAATTTATTTTGCTGAATCATCACATGATATTTGGCAGTTGCAATCCTCTTTTTGTCTCCCATAATTTTTTTGCAAAGTGTTTTCCTGGTTTAAAGAAGAATATCAGCAACAGTCTGATATCTTTTTCTGCAACTTTCTGTAACTGACTTAATCTAGCCTTAATTGTTTTGTAGAATAAATAGTCTATTTTTAGGGTTAGCATGCTAATTTCTGCAGTTC